ATTTAATCTAATGGTGTGAGAGAGGAAACACCTGATACTGTTTACTTACTCTGCAGTTGGTAACCAGTCCTGAAAAAAACTTTATGCAGTCTTAATAAAAGGGTATTAATACAAGATACTGGTTTACAGAGGTGTTGAAAGGCTCATGTGATTATGGAGAGCAAGAAGGGGAATGAAGTGTTGCCACCAATAAGACATCACCAAATACTGGAGTCCTGTAAGTCCATCACTGCTGAAACTATGGAGACTCCGCACTCCTAATATAACTGGGATCCTCCCTGCCATAATCCAGACACCTGTAGCCCACCAATGCAGCTGAAACTGGCTTTGGAAGTTCAATCCTGCAGCCCCTGCACGGTCCTCAGTTGTCTACAGCTGCTAAGGTAGCAAAGACTATCATCATAAGTAGAAAAAAGAAGCAATTTCTTTTTTCATCCTGTAGTACTTTTTCCCTTCAGCCCCACACAGAAAGCAGGTGGCAAAAAGGATAGGGCAAGTTGTCTTTGTCTGCAAAATGAAACCCAGGAGGACACAGAAAGTTATAGTCCCCATGTATGCGTATGACAAATAGAAATAGAAATCACTTTCTGGACCAAAGATATCATGAAAAGTTTCCATGGCAAGGGAAAATGAGTAAAATACATGCAGAATAAACCTACAGAAAAAAAAAGGTCAGAAAAATTTGGCTGTAAGTTCCACAAGTGTGGGGTTGTTCTACCTTGTTCCCTCACTTATCACAATTGCTTGCCCACAGTGTGCACTCCATGTTCATTTGTAAGTTGAAGACATTATATAGCCTCCAAGGCATATTATAGCCTCCAGGGCATACTTTTTGTCTGGGTAAGTGTAGTATGGTTGGTTTTTAAATTTTCTTTTTAACAATTTATAATTTTTACAATCAACATGTCAACATTTAAATTAAAGACAAATACTTTAAAATGCAATACAACATTCAAACGCATACACTACAAATGAGTTTAGAAGAGTCAACCAGTAGCCTAATAAAGAGTGATAAAGAGGAAGGCATGATACATTGGTTCAATTGCAGTTCTTCTTAGTGACATTTTCTTTCATGCTTTGCTGCGAGTATGAAATTCAGTCTGTATCTGTGAAACACAAGACAAACACTCTATCTCAGGACTCCACAAAATGTTCTTAAAGATAAAATGAGGTTATATACACATGTAAGAAGTAATTTATAAGGTGAAAAAGGTTGGAGCTATATGTAAATTAATATATATTTGATAGATGAGAATTTATTGATTGGTAAGATTTGAGATTACCATATAAACACACAATTTTATACGCTTAATAAAATTTGTATAAAGTGGTTAAGATTTATAATTTAAAAATAAAAAGGCATTTATATGCCCTTTTATGAGAAGAAAACCATAAAAATACTGCTGGTACCTATTACCTTCTTTATCTCTCTTAATTGCATTCTTCTTTATAGTCTCAAAGGGGAATTATCAACAGAAAACTATCATCCACTTCTATACTGGGCATACCCAAGGATGATGTCACTCTCCAATTTCTCTTTATACAGTTAACTAAGATCACACTCCACTCATCCATCTGGAGGAGGGTTGTGGCGTTATCTGAAGTTTGGTTCAACCAGACAAGCAGACAAAATTATAGGAGCAAAAGGGTAATTACTTTTTACTCATTCTGTTTCTGACACACTCTATAAATTTTTATTGTGTTTGCTCTTTCTTCCCCTTCATCTACTTCTATGGAAAAAAAATAAATGTACTTTATTTTCTTAGATGTTTTATATGGCACTTATTTACTGGAACATATTAGAAAAGAGGTTTTTACTTTTCTAATGATGAATCACCAGTTTATAACATGTATATTTCAGCTCTGCATCTTTCTATGTCACATAATAATTTCCACCACAAATCTAATTTCTGTCTTCTGCCATGTAATTGGTCTGCTTTTCGTGATTACCCACCCCACACCTGTCTGTGGGAAAAAGAATATGCATTCCTCTCACATTATTGCATGATGAGAGGCTTCCTTCAGACTAAAATTTTGTAGAAGGAAATATAGTGATTTTGCTTAGGATAATACTTCTAGCAGTTAGAATACTGAGAAAAATGTCTCAACCATATGTATGTTTTCCATATGAAAATTATAATGGGTGGTTAATACTTACAGACTTCTGAGGGAAGACTGCCTTCGGAGCACCAAAGCAGTATTACATGCTCTGAGTTCCACACTCTGCTGAGATATTAGTGCTCCTGCAATTTAGTTGTGTGATTTAAGCAAATGTGCTGGAATCCTGAATTTTTTAATCTGTAAAAGGAGAATATGAATAAATATGTCTTAGGCTCTTGGGGAAAATAAAATGTGGTAAAGCAATGAAACAGTTATTGGGATACTGTTAGAAGAAAATTAAAATTTCATATTATTTTACCACCATTATTTATAATGTGCACTAAACTGTTGACACAAAACCCAAGAAATGGGATAAATAGCAAGATTGAACAGGGAGACCTATTGCCTTTATTATACAGTGTTCTGTTACCTGTCTTACGTCCCTGATGGACTACACAGCATGGCTTGATTAGATTGACCCAATTATTCAAATTAGAAAAGATTTTTTCCCCTAGTACCTTCCCACCTGCCCTCTTCCCCTTCATTCATTCATTCAGCAAATAGCTAAAAGGTCTGCACATGCATTAATATTTGTCTTGATCTTTGATACACTTTAATCACTGATATTAATTGGGTCAGCAGGAATGTTTTACATTTATAGGAACTGATTTTTAATTTTCTGGAGAACTCAGATTTCATCTGCCTGTGTGTGTGTGTGTGTGTGTGTGTGTGTGTGTGTGTGTTTGTGTGACAGAGAAATTATATATTTTTGTAATGGAATGCATCCCAGATTTTTTTGATATTTATATTAAGGAATCAAATTTATTTTCAGTGTTTTTTGCTTAATCACCCCAGAACTTGAGATAGTTAATAACAAGGGAAAACTTTATTGCAAACTTGGAAATTCTTCTTGAAACACTCCTGCATTATAATGAATTCTGAACTTTTTCCAGAAAGAATAGTCAATATACAATATATATTTTTGTTGTTGGTACAGACTTACAATTTAATTAGTCAGAAACTGAATAGTTGAAAAGTTTTAACCTCCCTAAGAGAAAATGTAGAAGATAGTATCATAAAAGTCAAATGTATTTTGCTGCTTCTATTTTTAATTCTTACTTAATATATAACTATTTAAAAATTATAAATTGAATCACATTTATTTAATATTTCTCCTTGACTAGACTATGACCTCCTGAAGTGTAATCCAGGTAAATTTTTATTTGATTCATCTTCAGTGTCTAACACAGATGCAAATCTGACCAGCATGATAGAAATGATAAATTAGACTAAGTCATCTCAGTGTTTTTCAGTTTTATTCTCTCTAGTTCAGTTTCCAGGAAAAAATGTTGGACGTAATAATACATATGATATTACAAAAATATACACCTTATCATAACTATCATTGAACTTCTCTTAGTTGTTTTCCCTAATTTTTTTTAAAGATTTATTTATTTATTTATTTATACAAGCACTGGGTACAGTCGGAAGCGCGGGAGTGTGAGAGAATTCACCAGAGCCAGAGCGGGGAGCAGAGCAGGCAGAAGGACTGAAGTACACTGCTGAGGGGAGCAGCGGGCAGCAGGAGAGGTCTGCGCGCCATGTGGGACCCTCCTCCAGTGGCCGGGGAGAAGCCAGGGATTGAACCGGTGTAGTAGAGGCCACGGGCAGATTCACAACCCAGTGCTCAACTGCTGTTCCACCGGGGAGGCCCTTCCCTGAGATTTTTAACAAATAGTGTAAGCGCTAAGTCAGTTAAGTTGAAGAATGTACTAGACGGAAAAAAATATAAGTCTCCATAAGTTTCTGCTTAATCAGGGTTAACTAAAATATGTACTGCATATTTATATTTCTACATTCATATTTATATAAATATAATCACATATTTATAGTTTAAATGAGTTTATGCAGTATATGAGAGATACAAAGATAGATAATAGATGATAGATAGATGATAGATGGACAGGTAATCTGGGACTACAGAAATTAGTAAAACTGGGAAACTGAATTAATGTTTCTTATATCATAACACAACATAGTCATAGTCACAGCACATATATTTTATACAATAATCACTGCAGCTATTAACCTCAAAATTACAGTATTTGTGCTTTCTTCATCAATTTTTATTATTTTGCTTCATTTTATTATCACCATACCTGAGATCAAACTTTATTTTGAACCCTTTCTTAAGTAGAGTGAACAAAGGAATGATGGGCAGAGTAAGCTGAATCCATAACCAGAGCCCACCCTCAGAGTCTGGGTTCCTTATCCACTAAGGGCTCGGTGATTGGTAAGGACCCGTGTCTTCTGTGCATAATTGCTCATTCCACATAAACAAGAGTCTCACATAATGACTTGTTTCTTCAGAAAATGGGGATTCAGACACTTGATATGAACTTTTTCTAAATTATGCTTCAGTTACTTTTTAAATCTTTCCTACATGGTTTTAAGATTTCAAGAGATTGCAAGGTTACCTTTGGGTCCTTAAACCAAAGAGGTTAATTCAATTCTGACTTCTATAATAACAAAAATCCTCTAGAAATAAAGGGTTTCATTTATCCTTTTTTTTTCAATGATTCACTTTGTGTGTTTCAATAAGGAAGTGTTTGTACAAATTTCCATATTTGCTGATAAATAGCATTATTCATCATTTAAAAATCTCTTATCCTTGAACTGAGGTATGCATAAGTGCCAAGATTATCTGTTATGTTTCTGATAAGTTTATAAAAGTAATTTATAATCCACAAATCTATAGGTCCATGGGAAATACTCCTGTTAGTGCAATTGAGTTGGTGTTCACACACACACAAACACGCAATATTAATTTCAAGTGGTTATATACCATGGGGATGATCTATTAATCTCAAAGCTCTCCTTTGTGGTCTAGGTGAAAGCTCATGGACGACACCATGTGGGTGGCTAACCAGACTGGATGGTCAGATTTCATCCTGGTGGGACTCTTCGTTCAATCCAATTACCCAGTTCTTCTTTGTGTGGTCATTTTTTTGGTTTTCCTTATGGCCTTATCTGGAAACATCATCCTGATCTTACTGATACACTCTAATGCTCACCTCCACACCCCTATGTACTTTTTCATTAGTCAGTTATCTTTTATGGATGTGATGTACATTTCAGTTACTGTGCCCAAGATGCTCATAGATCAGGTCATGGGTACAAATAAGATTTCAGCCCCGGAATGTGGGTTGCAGATGTTTCTCTATTTGACATTAGTAGGCTCAGAATTTTTCCTTCTAGCTGCCATGGCCTATGACCGCTATGTGGCCATCTGCCATCCACTCCGTTATCCTATCCTAATGAACCATAAAGTGTGTCTCCTTTTGGTGTCTGGCTGTTGGTTCCTGGGATCGGTGGATGGCTTCATGCTCACACCAGTCACCATGACTTTCCCTTTTTGCAGATCTCGGGAAATCCATCATTTTTTCTGTGAAGTCCCTGCTGTAATGAAACTCTCTTGTGTAGACACTTCCCTCTATGAGATACTTATGTACCTATGCTGTATTCTCATGCTTCTCATCCCCGTGACAGTCATTTCAAGCTCTTACTCTTTTATTCTTCTCACCATCCATAGGATGAACTCAGCCGAGGGTAGGAAGAAGGCTTTTGCCACTTGCTCTTCTCATATGACTGTAGTCATTCTTTTCTATGGGGCTGCTGTCTACACCTACATGCTCCCCAACTCCTATCATACTCCAGAGAAAGACATGGTTGTATCTGTCTTTTATACCATACTCACTCCTGTCCTAAACCCTTTAATCTACAGTCTTAGGAATAAGGATGTCACAGGGGCCCTGAAGAAAATGTTGAATGTTGGGTTTGTTTTTCAGGAAGGTATGAAATAGATCATTTTCTTTTCAACTGTTGATTTTCTTCCCTTGCACCATCAGAAGATTAAAATCCCATAGAAATGTTATTCCTCAGATTTTCATATCATAATATGTCCATTCATGTAATTTTTTTAGAGTACTTATTTTCCTATACTGGAAAACTCTTCATTCTTATACTCCTTCTGCATTTCAAAATTTGGACAATTGCACTGCACTGTTGTTGAATTTCTGAAGTTGATAACTGTATACTGATTATATTAAAATTTACATTTCTAGGAAGCAAATAATAAAAAAATATTAAAATGAAAAAGATTGTAAGGTATGCAACTGATAAAAGGGTATGTTTATAGACAAATTTGGTAAAAGACTTTGTATTTAGCTGTACTATTATTACTCATGATACTTTTTCTAAACATTTGAAATTACCTTAAAATAAAAATTAAGTTATCACACTTTCTTCTTTTATTCCACTCTTATTTTCTGCTTGGTGGCAGTAATAAGTGTAGTATCATAAACTTTGTCTTCATTTTAATAAAGCTGATCATTTCTAAGGCAATCCAGATACTTTTATTTGGTCTACTTTACTCTTCTTGGCCCAACCATAAGGTCATTTAATGAGTGTTATCTTTGTCTGTGAAATAACTAGTACTTTGTGGTAAATTGAGGATCCAACACCACATAAGTTTCCCTGGGAAAAAAATAACCCCAAGTGCAAGGAGGAATTAAGGAAGTTTCCTTCTGTGAAGTGTGATTTAAGCAAAGATGTGACATGTAATTTATTATACAAATGAACAGATAGAGGGCATCATGCAATCAATGCTTAAATTATTCAATATTTTTGTGTTATATTTAATATAATAATTAATATATAAATGAAATTAAATATAAATAATGCATGGCTACTGCTGCCAAATAATTTTAAGTTATAAGTACACTTATGAAAATAAGTGCAGTAAATTACATAAATTGTTTTCATGTTTGTGCAGACAAGGTATACATTAGTTCTATCTGTGATATCAGAATTCAATCAGATAAGTGGCTGAGAAAATGTCCTAGAACTTCGAGTTGAATGTGCACTAGGTGTTACCTCCAGGTAAATATAGGAGTTTGGAAATGGGGTGACTTGACTGGGGACATGATTTAATGGAAAAATCGTGGCACAGCAGATCTCTCCTGCCTTGTCCACTTCTCCCCTCAGCAGTGTATTTCAGTCAAACTGCCAGTTCTGTTCTCCACTCTGTCTCTGGTGAATCCTCTCACCCCCAATACCTCTGACCTGTACCCCAGTTCTTGTATGCATAAATAAATCTTAAAAAAATAAAAACCTGAACAAAGTCAGATTGTTGATCAAACAGGAGAGATGAATGGTACAATGATGATATGGGAATCCAATCGACATGTAACTTTAATTTTTGCCTTTCTGTATCTATTTTTAAGGAGTAGGGAAGTTAATTTGGGGCAATTTAGAAAGATCAAATATGTTTTAAGTGGTTCAAGAAGTAAAAAAATGAAGGTAAGGGACAACATGAATGAGAATGGAGAATTGACTTGTGTTGATCTAAGTAGAATGGACTTCAATACACTTAAAATCAAGAAAGGTGAGACAGTAGTATTTGGGGTAAATGGGATCTTTCTATCTTTATTTACTCTATCTGTTATATAAAACCACCAATTCAGGTGCATGTGTACCAATTTCTAATTTGTCATGTCAACTTGTGAATTATCATGTGGTTTGAACAAAATAGATTTACTATTCTTCTTGACACATTCAATTTATACATGACTGTACAATAAAGATCTTCAGTATTTTGGGAAGTAATTTTGAAAACCAATTTTCAACATAGTTGTTGCACTCATGCAAAATTAATAAGATGTGCATTCATTAGACACACTTATTTGAAAGTTTCATTTACAGCACACTATACATGGGGAACAGATTCATACAAAACCCAACAATATGTGATGATGCCACAATATTCTTCCAAAGATGACTTTTTTTTGTTTTAAGATTTATTTATTTATTTATACAATCACTGGGTACAGTCAGAAGTGTGGGAGGGTGAGAGAATTCACCAGAGCCAGAGCAGGGAACAGGACAGGCAGACTGATGAAATACACTGCTGAGGGGAGCAGCTTGCATAGCAGGAGAGGTCTGTTGCGCCATGTCCTCGCCAGTGACCAGGGAACAAACCAGCACTGCAGAGGCTGTGTGGGCAGCTTCACAGCCCACCGCTCAACTGCTGCGCCACCAGGGGAGGCCCCAAAGATGACTTTTTTTTTTTTTCTGTTATATATCAAATATGGCTGTTTTATTTTTTTTATTTTCTTTTAAATAATATATTTTATTTTTATATTCCCCATACAATTGCAACCCCCCCATTCTGACCCCAATCCCTCCCCTCCCAACCCCCACCCCCCAAAAAGTGTCTCTGGTTCATAGTTTTTTGTTGATTTTGATTTTCACTTTCTTATATTCATTTTCCTGGTCCCTTATTTAAGTTTTCTAGATTCCTGCTATGAGTGAGACCATCCGATGTTTTTCTTTTTCTTTCTGGCTTATTTTGCTGAGCATTATCCCTTCCAGTGTCATCCATGTTGCTGAAAATTGCATGTGTTTATCTTTTTTGAATGCTGAGAAATATTCCATGGTATATATGTACCACATCTTCTTGATCCAGTCATCTATTTTTGGGCATTTGGGCTGTTTCCAAAGCTTAGGAACTTTCTGACCTCATGGAGATTAAAAACCACACTAATGGAAGAACACTGGACTAATGAGGAGATCAAAGAAGAAATTAAAAAATTCTTTGAATTGAATGACAAGGAGGACACCAATATCCTAAATGTATGGGATGCAGCAAAAGCAGTAATAAGAGGAAAATATATAGCAATAGAAGCTCACATCAAGAAACAAGAAAGAACTCAAAGATGACTTTTTAACTCTATCTCAAGTCAAAAGAAGATTCATATAAAAATACAAATAAATATATTTTAGAATTATGAAGTTGTTGATAAAATATTTTAAAATATTTTTCAACAACTCAATGTTCTAGACTTAATGAATTAAAAGTAGCCTAAACTCATAGCAGGGATTTAGAAAACCTGAATAAGGGACCAGGAAAAAGACTAATTATAATAAAGTAAAAATCAAAATCAACAAGCAACTGCAAACCAGAGACTCCCTAGGAGTGGGGGAGGGGAGGAAGGATTGGGGTCAGGATAAGGGGAGTGGGAATTAAATGGAGAATATAGCCAGGGTGAAGATGCATACATTGTGCAAGGATGAAAAATAATGTAAAAAATATATAAAATTTAAAAAAAATTAAAAAGTAGCCTAAATGGGGACACATATAAGATTGCTCACAGACTTTTGAGTGGAATCTTTAGAGGCAAGAAATAAATGTCAAAAGATATTTAAAGTACTCAAAAAAAGAATGGTTTCACTTATAGGAGGAATATAGGGAAACCAAATATGACATCAGTGTAAAAAAAATAATAACAATACAAAACACAACAACAACAAAAAAAACAGACCATTATACATCAGAGACATCCTGCAGGGAAGGAGGAGGGAGAGGGATCAGAGGGAAGAAGGGAGGTGCACAGGGGACTGTGGTGATGGAGCATGGGTACTTTGGTGAAGGAAATTCTATGGGGACTACACCGAGGGGAGAGAGGAAAGCATCACCTAAATATTTTCTAAAGATTCATTTATTAATGCATACAAGAACTGGAGTACAAGCCAGAAGTGGGGGGGTGAGAGGATTCACAAGAGACAAAGTGGGAAACAGAACAGGTGGACTGACTGAAATGCACTGCTGAGGTGAACAGTGGGTGAGGCAGGAGAGGTCTGCTGAGCCACATGGGTAGCTCCCTGGCCTGCCATGGATTGAACTCATGCTGTAGAGTCTGTGGAGAGCTTCACAGTGCTATGCTTAACCCCTTCCACCACCAAGGAGGCCCCAGTCACCTAAATTATACAAATAGGTGGAGGAGAGAAAAATGTGGTCCAACAGAATGAGTTTGAGATCATATCAACTAGGGACCCCTAAAGTTAATTAATTATATATTAACTGTAGAAGAACCTTCAAATCAAAATTTATAAATATAACATATAAAACAATATAAATGGAATTTAAACAAAACATAAAAAAAGATGCCAAAAAAAAAAATTGGAAAGGTAGGAGGCAAGACGGTGTCAGAGTGAAGATGCATGTTTTCTTCTTCCTTGTACTCTTAGCTAGATTTAACAGAGTAAGGCCAATAAATAATAATAGTGAGGCACAATAATACAGTGCTCCCTGGAGCAACATCCAGACAAGGAGAGGGGACAAGCAAACTTCTGGCTACCAGCCACATGAAATGAGACACCAGCTGACAGCCACATAGCCTAGGAAACCAGCAACTAATTGTGGTAGCCTGACATCTATTGATCACCAGTCATCTGCTACACCAGTCAGTTGACATTTGCCAGCTGTAAATCCCAGTCATCAGATATATGAGCTCATCTCTCAGCTGGTTAAAGCTTTTGGAAAAATGAGACAGAGGAACATTTAGCTGAGAATCAGTCCTATGCATAGTGAAATTGATTATTTTTTGATAGCAGGAACCAGAGCAGACTAGGTGGTGGGTTAAGTGAGGAGCAAGGAGGCTGTGGGTTGGAGTGGAATACACCAGTGGTAAGTCTGTTGACTCAGCCAGAGAATGTAAAGGGGTAGTCAGAGGTTGTGTAGAGACATAGAGTTTGAAAGAGGTGAAATCCTGGTGGAGAAGATAGATGTTTCACACAGGCTGGTGCCCAATAGAAATAATAGTAGAACAGGCATTCTGATTTTCAGTCCCTCTTCTCACATCTTAAGATTGGTGCTTAGCTTGTGAGGCGTACTGAGAGCACAAGGATTGCCAAGTCTCTATTCCCAAATCCTAAAGAGGAGGGATATCAGGGGTGGTACAAACAAGGCCTAGTCACAGTCCAACTCCGCTATAAAAACATCTGGAACCTTCTGAGTTCCACC